AAAGTAGTTGCCAAAGTTAGATGAATTTGGTCATAAAAATATGCAAAACAGAAAGTGTTCATGTCAGCTTATTTATTAACATCTTAAATATTTCTTGTTCATTTCACTAAATTGCAGTGCTTTACAAAATGACTTCTAGAACCAGATAAAATTTCCAACTTTAATTTATCAGAGATTTATAAGAGGGGTACGTGGCGGCCTAGTGGGGAGTGAGTGGCGAATCCTGAGGTTGTGAGTTGTGATCCCCCACTACCACAGACTTCCACTCTGGGTCCCTGAGCAAGACCGCCATTGTGCGGTGCCCTGCTCCCCAGGCACCGCACAATGGCGAAGATATGGTGACACAAAAAATGAAAAAGGCAGTGGCAAAGATTCCTACAGAATCACCAGAAAAAGTATTTCTCCCCGGCTCCCCGGGCACCGCACAATGGCAGCCCACTGCTCCCCAAGGGGATGGGTTAAATGCAGAGAATTCATTTTGTTGCTCTGTACTTGTGACAGTGTAATGACAATAAAATTGAATTATTATTATTATTATTATAATTTATCCCAACTCACCATATTTTTTGCTGGCAAGATGATGTTTTTAGGATATCAATTTCATAAAGCCTACTGATTGAGGCAAAAAAAAAAAAAGAGTTATTCAAATTTAACCATAGTATTCCTAACCTGGAAATACAGACAGTATTTAAATCGTTGCTTAGATCAAAGGCAAAATGTACCTGGGTTTGCTTATTATATCCAGCAATGCAGATTTTATCCATCTGAGTTACAAGCAACTTTAATCTAATATAGCCCTTTACTGTACACAAAGTTACAACTGGGTACCTAATCTTTGCAACATTTTGCAGTTTACTTATTTGGTGTTAAATTGAAATTATTTGCGTTATCTACTGAAATTGTTAATGTTTGACCATGGAATTGCTGGATGTGCAGTTTACCTGGCTATGGTCTGGAGTAGTGTGACACTTAAGTGTTCACTGGTGCACTGCTTCACTTCGATTCAGGGATTTTCCTCTTTTACCACACTCAGTCATGGAGAATCAATGGTTGTTTCTTTTTAAACTGCAATGGTAAATTTTTTGCATAAAGGTGGACATGCAGATTACATTTTCACTCCATTCATGTTTGTTTTGTTTTGATTAAGGATTGCATATTTGAATTTGAAGTCTACAGCAGGTACATCTACTCCTTGTAAAGTGCCAGAGTCTTTGCTAATGTTTGTGTGTGTGGATGTGTGTGTGTCTTGTTGGTGGGATTTCCCCTGAGCCCCTTGCTATGCAGGCCAGCTTTTTCATCCATCGTGCTTTGACAGCTTAGCAGCACCCCTCGGGGTGCTCTCACCACACACAGAACAGCAGGATCGTCCGTACTGTATGTGCACTTTTGCACCATAAATAAACACAGCGAGCCTTAATGCAAACACTACTACAAAAGTGCAAAAATTATAGGTGAGAACCCATGGCTTTAACATCAGTGGAACGAGGGCTAATGCATAAGGGAAGAGAAATGCAAGCACATTATTGCATGCATTTCCCTTATCTTCTTAAGTGAAACAATGTCTTCAAAAATGTTATTTTAATGTGAAATGGTTTGAGGAAAATTATTACTCTAATGGTATGTAATGGATAAAAACACAAAGTAGCCCACATTAAATATATAAGTTTTATTTATCTGTAAAGTGTGGAATGCATATATAGTAAACCTCTTTACTCTGATATTCTTCAACTTGGAGGGCAAGCTGTTTTATTGAAAAAGTATCTTGGTGACATGGCTTGGTATAGTGGTGTTTTCTCATGATCACAATGTTAATGGATATAGATATGAAAAAGCATCAATAATTCTGCGTATGTTTGCAGGGTTATTGCTTTCTCCGGTTCAGGTGTATTTAGTGGAAGCAAAGGGATATTGATAAGTATAACCTGCCTGTCCAAATACTCAGATGACAAGTTGAAGGTGATGTGTAAGATTTAACTAACAATGGAAAAGCAAATGAAAAGGAACTTGCCATATTGGCAGGAAGTTAAAACTGAGTTACAGATTTAAAAAATCAGCAGGGGGAGCAGGGACATTAAAAGCAGAGTATTGCCATGATGCAAGCAGATGGTAGCTAATAACAGCACAGAAACAGCCATACATTTCATATTAAAATTTTATTGCACAACATCTAACTTCCTTGTGATTACATGAGATACTGAGCTAAATTACAGTGTAGAGACGCAATAACAGATGGCAGCTAATGATACTTAACAGCCTCCCTCCTCTCAGTGTTAAGTTTTTAATGAAATTATATGCATTTGTCTGAGCAGATATTTTTCTGAAATGGTGAGCAGTGCCTTTATTTGCCTTAATTTTGTTTGAAGTGGTCTTCAATTAGATGCAGGCCTTTAGTTCTAATTTTCTCTATTTGCAAAGTATAATTGGTAATACAAACGTCTCATTTTGATCAACTCCAGTTTGCCCTGTAAAGATGTGCATTTTAAACTCCATTCAACAGGAAAATTCAATGAAGGAAATACATTTCTTATCAGAGATTTTATTGTAAAACATCTACTTGCACACCATTGCAACAGCAGCAAAAAGTATAAGCAGTCTTTGAACAGCATAAGCAAAGTAGAGCCAGATGAATCACAAGCAGTATTGCTATTTGAAATGTTAAACCATCCATTTATCAGTACAAACATGGAGCAGTGCACAATAGTGAGGTGAAAGAAAAGGGGAACGACATATCCAGAAAAGATCTGAAACATGTCTGAATTTGTATTCTGCTCCTTGATAGAATATCATGCAAAACCACATTGTTCTGCAATCATGGGTTATCTTCTAGGACTGCTTTGTATACAGTTTATTCCACTTACTAACCACCTTCACTAGTAAATCTATCAACACATTTTCTCACTTCAGATCTCCCCAGTTCCTTCAGAGTTGACTGGACCACTTGATTGCCTTCTCTGATTATAACTCTTTATACCTTGACATTAAATTCAGGTACATGGCCTTATTTTGGGAGATTTTCTATCATTCTATTCTCATCCTATTCATTATGCCTTATATTTTCTAATGGTGCTTTTTTTAGATGTTCAGTGCTTGGGATGTTGTGTTATAACCCAACTCTTCTTAAAACTCCCTCACAACTGTATTTCTGCACTGTCTGGTGTTTGGGACCTCATGTTCTCTAACAAGCCTCTTAAGCCTTTATAGGATGGAGATCCTAACACTTAGATTCAATTACACATCAGCGTGCCAGCGTGTTCAACCATATTTTGGTTTGAGGGGAATGAAAACCTTTTTGCAATTGTGTCCATTTCCTCTATCTAGAAAAGATAGAAAACATATTTACCGATCTTTCTCTATTTATATGCAGCGTTGTGAAAAGTTCATAAAACTTCAACCATATTTGGGTTTCAGGGGCAATCCCAACCTGAATAAAATGGTAAATGACTATACTTATAGCACCTTTTCAAGTCAGAGGGCTCCAAAGCACTTTACACTACGTTCTGTCAGTCACCCATTCACACACTGATGACAAGCTACATTGTAGCCACAGCTGCCCTGGGCCTGACAGAAGCGAGGCTCGGTACACAGGCGCCACTGGGCCCTATGCCCAACATCAGTAAGCAATGCGGGGTACGTGTCTTTCCCAAGGACACAGCAACAGAGAAAACCAAAGCTGGGGTTTAAACCAGCAACCCTATAGTTGCAGCCTTAATTCCTGCATCAAA